CTCAATTTCAGGCTATTTGAAATTCTAATACGTAACATTATTCACATCCAAGCCAGTCAAAGCATCCCAACTTACCAGACGTAGTCTTCGTATTAAAATACTAGCTTCAAATTAGAAGCTTTGAAAATAGAGTAAAGAAGCCTTTTGATTAGTTCATTAGATGTTATGCTTTTCTTTCTTTGCTCTGTATTTATCTCTGTTCTTCATATGTCATACAGTTGGGTTTCCTGACCATGTTATTAATCTAGCCTTATTCTCTCCCCGTTAGCGTATCACGCCTTTACAAATGCTGGCACACTTTTAATATATTACCCATTCTTGGTTGCGCTCGAGCAGATTTGTTCGATTGCGCTCTTGTTTCAAACACAGCAGTATCAAACCATCAAAAAGAGTGCTGAATAACTGGAGAGAATTTTCACTGGAAACAACAAAAACATTATTTTGAAAGCCAGCACTACTTAGCTATCAGAAACGATGTCAAACGTTACACTTTCTTTTTATATTCTAGAAAGCACGTAAATCAACTGACTCAAAAGAAATTTATTCCCAAGAAAAAAAACATGTTAGTGCTAGGCCTTGTCAAGTTGTTTGCTGACGTTACCTTTGAAAAACAAATCTTTGCTAACATAAGAAAAAATAATTTTCGTTCATCAGCCAACAGTGTGACGAAATAGTTGTGAGTTGCCAGTAAAAACAGTTCTAAACATTCATTAATGTTTCAAACTTATTATTGTGGGAAACAGGCATGAGTTCTTATATGATCAAAATTTTGTAAATTACCCCAATTATAGTGATTGATTAGTCTGAGGTACTCACGAATAGTTTGTAACCGTTAACTTGAAAATATACATCCGTTGTCAAAAGATCAAACAGTGGTCAGGTGTCAGTAAGTTATAATAGGTATTAAGGGGGAACACTGAGGTTGACAATTTTTGTTTGTTGTTACAAATAAATTTGCACAATGGGCTATCTGTGCTGTACCCGCCAAGGGTATCGAAATTCGGTTTTTACTTAGCGTTATAAGCTTTTAGGCTTACAGCTGAGCAGAATTGATACATTGGTACAGGGCATCTACAACAGTTTAATAAAATTCTCCTATTATATGTTAATATTTTTCTTTATATAGTGGTGGATTCTGGAGGTCGTCACTTGCTTTTATTTTCCCTTCTCATCTGCGACGTACAAGCGTGCTTAAAGAAGAATGCACGTAATTTGCTTAATTGGTCACATTTCTGTGCTCGTGCACTTTAATTAATATGTATTGTTATGACACAACGCCGTCAAAATCCATAGACAAAATATGCAAACATTTGCGAAAATTTTCAATCGGTAACTGTGGATAAATTTTGAATTTCTGTACGATTTAGCGGAGCACTTTTTGTGTTTAATATACGCTGAAATAAAGGCTTATTATAAAGTACAATAATTTGGTTTACAAATAATTAAATGTACATTTTATTGTATGTCTTCTGTTTACAAAAATAAGCTTGCCAATATAAATTATACAAGCGATTTAGTGACTGAACTTCTTAGCTCTCAGACAGTCACGTGCATACCCTTTTTGTCACAGAAAACTGCAGAGTAACTTACCTCATTTACATAACGAACAATCTCTTTTTTCTTAATATTCGCCTTTAGTGCCAAATAATGTTCATTCTAATCTTATATTTAACTCCATTATTTGGCTTTTTATTTTAGTCCGCCATCTTTTGACGCATACATGGATCAAATATCAAACAGAAGAAACTGAATCTCTGTAACAGCGGGCTTATCTGTTTATCAATCTTAATCTAAATATATATGGTCTAGCGCAGCGATCTAAGGGAATGCGTGTAAAATAGCAGAGGTCATCATTAGGGTTCTTCGTTTTCGTTTATTTTTGTTGATCTACCTGCTTTTAACATATTTTTAGCTGTTGATTCACATTAATAATCAAATTCAAGAGAAAGCTATTAATTGTAATCAAGTTCATATAGGGATCGTCCATCCAAATGTCTCGCTTGGTGGCAGCACTACCTTACCGTTTTCCGATTCAGTGTCACCAAATAATACTGAATGTTAGAATGACTGAAAATAGCTGGGAAATACAACATTTTATCACCCAGTGTTTTGTTAGAGAGGGACACCGTTTCCTTTAGGTGGAGCAATGAAGATTCGAGTTGTAACCATCAGACGAGAAGGAAGTATTGCCACTAAAGAGATAACACGATGGACTGTGGAGACCATTTCCTCCTCAAACAGTACATGTCCACGACAAGGAAGTACCATGGTAATAATTTTCGATGATTTACGATGAACTGAAATTTACTAATCGAAAAGATGACTGCGTTAGTCTTACATAGAAAATTCACCATAGAAAAATTGGGCAATAAAGTACCTAAGTAATATATATATATATCAAACGTTTTACTGAAATACACAATTCTTAACTTACATGTTATTGTTTTACTATATAGCCAAGTAAATACCAGTCCAATATATTTTGCTGCGGTGAACCAGGCAAGAGACAATATGAAGGAAGAGAAACTACATTTTTGCCAAATACCCCCGTTGTCGACTGTCGAAATATAAAATAGGTACTGATGTACTTGCTGGATGACTTATATATATTTTTGACATTTATCTGGTTATATGAGTGGCAGATAAATCTCAAAAATACACACAGCAGTCATCAGTAAGTACACAGCTATAAAATATGGCCCTGTTACTAATACTATTAGTAAAGAGGGGGGAAAAGTTCTTCAAATTTGGAAAATCATAGTATTTCCACGTACCATCCATCAAAATACAATCTATATAAATGCATTTTTCAGTGATATATTACAGTAACTATTTTTGGGGCAAGTTAAAAACTCTCGATCTTCCTTGCGAGTAATGTTATCATGTTTCTGAAATCCAGGTTCTAGCTTCACAGTATATAAATCAAAACACGTACTCTTACTGACTAACCAGATACGATACAAACAAAACCCATCTTTCCATGAGCTTAGGGCCCGGCATGGCTAAGTGGTTAAGGCGCTTGACTCGCAATCTGAGAGTCGAGGGCTCGAATCTCCGTAGCCCAAGAGTAGGCGGTGGGTGGTGATGACTAGCTGCCTTCCCTCTAGTCTTTCACTGATAAATTAGGGACGGCTAATGCAGATAACCCTCGAATATCTTTGAGCGAAATTCAAAAACAAATAATTCACGAGATCTGCTTTTTCTGTCTTAAGCTGTTTTAACTTTAGTATAGAATACTCCATTTTTGACATTGCGCAGAATAAAAATAGAGATATTTGAATTGGTGATTGGAAAACGCTAACTGTAGTATTGTCGCCTAGAAA